TAGGAAATCTTCAGATTAAATTGTTGAACCAATCAAATAAATAAGTTAAAAGATGAACCAATGTGACTGACGGATAAAGTTAGGAAAAGGCTTGGCATTTTTTATTTTCTGGTATTTAAGCTTGTGAGTGCGACTGAGAATAAATTGTGAGATGTACGACATTCGATTTCCAATGGTGGACTCCGCCGAAATGGTATAGCACCGTTCAATTAGAGAACCAGTGAAATCCCAAAAATACATTTAGAACAACACTGGTGGAATAAAAGTGTATAAAAAGGGCAATGATGTGCCTAACCTACGGTGAACTTCATTTTTTTGACTATAGCTAAAATGTGAATAAAAGTACATTGTATCAACTGTTCAGTAATAGACAGGCAATATCTAGGCTAAACGCACTGTGAGTTCATTAACCACTGTCTTGCGAGAGATGGTTTTCCTGCTTTTTTAATACAACAATCATATCAATACACTTTGTTCTCACATTTACACTCGGGGATAGGGTAATCAAGGTGCTCGAGGCAAATCTGGCGATGCGGGTGAACAAGGGCCGAAAGGAGAAAAAGGTAAAATTGGCGAACCTGGTGAAGCAGGCCCGGTCGGACCAAAGGGAGACGTCGGTGAACCGGGAGAACCGGGAGAACCACCTGTACTGACTCCAGGTGCGAAGGGAAAACCGGGACATCCGGGATTGAAGGGATTTGTCGGAGAACCGGGTGAAGTAGGCGAGCCGGGAGAAGTGGGTACGTTATTCGTGTTTTAGATGGGGGGTTGAATGGTGATTTACTTCCACTGTTCGACAAATGCCCATCCGGGTGTCTATACGTGTATTTTAGTGGCGTATATCTTTGGGTTTCGATATTTTGGCACTATGTTTATTCTCCGCCAAACTGTTCAGAATTTCCAGTATTTTCTAACATCGTTATAATTAATTCCGCTTTCTTACTAGTTAGTTTTTTACTGTGTCCAACTATTATTTTGTCCCGATCCGATTGTTTTCAAAGGTGCCGTGGGAGAACCAGGAGAAGAGGGCGAAATCGGTCCACTGGGTCCAGAAGGTGATGCTGGTCCAGAAGGCCTAGAGGGTGATCAAGGTCCAGTAGGTACCGAAGGTGCGTTTCTGTGTGCTCGCTGAATCCGTTTTCAGTTCAAAATAAACATATGTAAGCTTTATTCAGTCGTGCTTGAGATTTTTCAACTCGTTTGAAGGAAAATCATGCTA